CCCTTCCCCGCCTGGTTCCCCGCTACTCCGTTCTGGACGCCGTCACTTGGGTGAGGAGAGGCGGTGTCGGGAGGGCAGGGCCGGCGGGCGCTGCGGAGCCCCTGGCAGGGGGCTCCCCGGGGAAGGAGGGTGCGGGCGGAGGAGGTGGGGTGCAGCGAGGTGCGGGAACGGGACGAAAAGGGGGAGGAAGGGCGGCCATTCTCACTTGTGCCTCCTTTCGCTCAGGGGGCGCTTGCTGCGCTGCTTCTGCAGCTGGCCAGACAGATCTCCTGGCTGAGATCCCTGCCAGAGACCTGGAGGGAGCGCAGGTCTCCCTGGCTGCTACGTTCTCCGCTACCTTCTCAGCAGTCAGGTTAGCAGCTCTGCCTTATGAGAAAGGGATTTGGGAGGGCCCAGCTGTCAAACAGGATTTCTGCCACATAACATTTAACATCTTTACTGTGGCTGGCAGAGAGCTGGTGTGTAAAGCTAACAACAGCTTAAAAGCCCTCTGAAGAGAGTGAGGGCTGGTATCTGTCAGGGGAAACTCGCTATTTCACACTGGTATGGTGCACTCTCCCTTTGCATCTCACATCCAGTTACTTCTGGTTTTTGTGCTGGATTCTGCTCAGTGGATTTTCCTCCTGCTTGGCTTTGTGCTCAGAGCAGAGAAGGAACCTGGGTAGATAGATGGTTCTGTGATGTCTCCTACAAAAAATGTTGTGCAGCTCATTTGTGCTCTATATTTCAGTGGCTACTGAAGCCTCAACCAGCTGTCCCAGGAGGCAGCTGCAGTCTCACTTCCTGCAGGAAGCAGGTCCAGATGTAGTACCAGAGAACTCATCCTCGCGTATCCCCTCAGAGCAAGGAGAGAGCCAGCCCTGTGCAGACGTAGGTATGTGTTGATGCGCTACAGGATACTTGTGACAAAAAGACTTCTGAGTTTCCCCAAGGCAAAGCTAGAAGCAAGAGATGTGCAGTCATGTCTTGAGAGCTAGAGGAGGGAAGTTAGAGTGGAAAGAGGGAACTTCAGTGAGATGAGTGAGGAGTTCAGAGCTGGGAGTTCCTGAAGTCAAGGGGAAGCCTGTAGTATAATTGTGCAGGTAAAACTGGCTTTGCCAATACTGGTCTGCCTTAGCTACCAGGATACAGCATCCGTTTTCTGTCTTTCAGTGTGGACAGATGTTTGCAGTCAAGAGGGTTCAGGAGACTAATGCAACAGTGATCTGGAAGATATGCCTCATAGCGTGAAACTAAGGGAATTTGTTTCTTCCTAGAAGAATAAGATGTATTTATGAGCGCTTATGCTGTGGATAAGAGAGTGGGAGGAGGCATCAAAGGCTTTCTTATTAAAATAAGTCGTGCAGAAATAGAAAGATATACTTCAAAAAAATGGAAGGAAATCCAGGAAAGCATGTCCTAATATGGTAAATTTAAAGTTCTACTGAACAAGATCAGATAAGGCGTACAACAGGGTTGCTCACTAGATGTATAGCCCTGTTAGTTCAGCTTTAGGAAAACTGTTTGACGCGGGAAGCCTGCCGGAGCAGGTGGAAGGGGGGATGACATAGGATCAGAGTGCAGAAGAGGCACATAAAGAAGCCAATCCACTGCTGCTATGTAGACCATGTAAGGTGTTCCAGAGAAGGTCAGAGGGGTTCCCAGGTCTTTGCTTTCTCCCAGATTTTTGGCTTGCTTCTGTGCTGATTTAAGCTACTGCCCGTAACTGCTTATCAAACCCATCTCCTGCCAGAGGTTAACATTCCCATCAGTTGGCAAATGGAGCATTTTGTTTCCATTTTTCCTAATGAGCTCTAGGAAAACAGCCAGGTTAATTTACCTAAACTGCCAATTAGACTGTTTAACCCATCTGCTTTTGCCTGAAGCAGATTAAGAAGTACTCAAAAACACTGCCGGCAGATTACTGGACAGGGACCTTTGGGAGAAGTGGTGGGGAATAAGTGGAGACAGTGCTGTCCTCAACTGGCACAGCGGAGCATCCGGAAGTGGTTGTGCGTCTCTGTCTGACGAACAGTTTCGTATTGAGAGGCAATAGGAAAAGCTTTCAGGCAAACTGATCAATTGAACAGTGACAAGTCACTAAGGCCGTGTGCTCTTTATTCAAATATTCTCCAAACGCTATGAAATCGCTGAGCCTCTGATGATGGTATGTAGTCCAGTGCTTAAATCTGCTGTATGACTAGAAAAACAAAGACTGGCAAATTAGACGCTGACCTTTAAAAAGCGGTTTTGATTGAGCTGCAGAACTACAGAAAAGTAATTCTAAGTTGATAGAAATTGTACCATAGACTAGAACTGCTGGATACCTGGATGAACATGCTGTATCAGAATCGTAGGTCTGGAGGGGCTTAGGAAGCCATTTCTCCGACCTGCTTGCTCCAGTACATAAGAGTTAACAGAGGGTCAGGTTTTGTAAATCTGTTAGTTTTTTGGAGAAGTCAACAGTTACACGGAGCAAGACTATGCAGTTTTTAGCTTTCTGAAAACCTTTCAACGAGGAGCTACGTCAAAGCCATCTGGAGAAAGGAGGCTGATGCGAGGGAAGAGGGACAGACCACCGCTCTCGGGATAGTAAGTCATTAAAGAATAGGAAATAGTTTTCACAATGGAGAGGCGTTACCAGTGAATTCCCCTAAGTACTTTGTTGGCACCCTTTCTGTTCAGTGCAGTCAGCAGTGATTTGGAAAAAGGAGGTGACAAATGAGGTGACAGAGGAAGCAAGTGATACAAAATTGTTCAGGACAGTCAAACTGGAAAGTCACTGCAAAAGATTGTGCAAGAACTAGCAAGATGGCAGTCCCAAGGTAGGTCAAAGTAGTATGCGCAGGGGAGAATAGCTGTAAATAGACATACAGAATGAGGGGTGTCAAATTAATCTTGAAGAAGGTCTTGAAGAAGGGACGTTTAAAGTCACTGTGCATATGTTCTTGAAAATGTTAAGTCAGTGCTTAACAGCAGTCAGACAAACAAAATGTTAGTTATTATAAAAGAGGGGACTAAGAACAAAACAGTACTGTACGTCTGCCGTTTGTAGATCTGCGCCTGTGATGCAGCCACGTCTTGAATGCTTAATGAAAGTAAAGACATCCTGTCTTAAAAGCAGTAACAAAAATGTTACAGAAAAGGACAAGGATGCAATCACACACAAAGGGACTGACTCTTCAGCTTGGAAAGAAGTGACTTAAAGAGGGTATGCCAGTGGTCTTTGAAACTTAAAAAAAAAAATTGGGGGAAAGTGATAGCGAATAGGAATATCTTAGTACCTGTACAGATAGGTAACACAAAAAAGGTCAGGTATTAAGTCTGAAAAAAGACCAAAGGCAGTACCTGCTTGCCCACTGCACAGGTAAATTGTGGAACTCGTTGCTGCAGGTCAGAAGTATAAATGGGTTCCAGAAAAGAATTAGGTTAAAATCACACATCCAAATTAAGTTTAATTGGTTCAACTAAACTCTCCTGCTCAGGAGGCTGCAGAACAGCTGATTGCTGGAAAGTTCTGTGAGGGAAAGCATCACTTTCTAATGCCTCTTTGTTATACTTTCTGCCCAAGCATCTGCTACTGTCAGTTGTCAGCGATGTCAGATACGTCAGAAATAATTTGCTTTCGCTCGGCATATCAGTCCTCACGTTACGTTGTCACAGTATGCTATCTATCCGTTTTGTGGGAACTTACTAAGAAAAGTCAGCATAAAGAGATTCAGCAATTTTCACTAAGGAGTATGGAAAAAAAGACACAGCGTTGTAGTCTTGAAGTCCTGTGAACCTCTTCTTGTAAAGTTTTAGATGTGACGTTTGGGGATGGTTGATGAGTTACCTTTCTCTCCGAGTATGTTTTGCTTTCTGCAGGAAAATCTTTCCCACGTTTTAAGGTTTTTTTTGTTTTTGTTTTTTCCCTCCCCAGTAGTTATTTAGCTACCGAGTGAAAGTGAGGCCAGCTAAGCAGAAGCAAGGGAAGGACAAGATGCCTGGCAGGTCACTTAAAGGAATCTGGTAGAAA